CAGGCCCCTGTCCGGGCTGGGAGGCCACGCTCTGCGGGAGGAGGCGGCCGGCGGCCCCGCTACGTTACCAACTCCACTGAGAGCGAGGCGGCGCGGCCCCCCGAGCTGGGCAGGGGCCAGGGCTGAGTGACCCGCGGCACGGGAAGGCCCGGGGGCTTGAGCAGGAGGCTCTGGCTGGGGTCGGGCCGGGCCGTTACCTGCTCTGCGCGGCTCCCCCCGCAGCGCCAAGCCCGCGGCCTCCCGACTCCCGCGCGTCGCCCTGGAAACCCGCGCGCGGCGCCTCCTGGGACTGGCTGAGCCGGGGAGCGGGGCCGCTGGGCCGCGCGCTGGCGCACTGGTGAGCTGAGTGTAGGCACTTCGGCACGGTAACCTCCCGCCGGCTCTCCTGCACCCTCGGGGCTCCCACCATCGTCCTGGCCGCGTCTCCAGCGAACGAACGGATCCCGCGGCAGTGCAGCTGTCCCTTCACGCTCTCGGTCGCACTCGCCCATGTACTGGTGTTTTGAATCCCGAGTCCAGTGCGCATGTCCGGTTCCCTGCCGGGAGGTGCACGGACCCAGAACAGGGCGCTCCAGGTTGGCTGCTAGGCAGGTAGGGAAAGGAGTGGATCCAGGCCGGCAGGTGTAGATGCCAGGTTCCCCGGGAAGGGGCTGGGCCCAGCCAGGCAGGTGTAGACTCGTCTCTGCCTGGTGAAGAAGTGGACAGAGAGCAGAGCACTCCCGTTGACCTCCTCTTTATAAAGATGAATTTCTTTGGTGAAAGAAAATCTGATCCCAAAGCAATGCATGTTGGTAGTAGAGAATTTAGAATGTACAGCAAAGTATAAAGAAAAATTAAAAATTACCTCCATTTCCAAAGAAAAATAAAAAAAATTTTTATTTTCCAAAGAAAAATAAAAAAATGCAGGCAGATGATGGAATTGCAGGTGATTTTTAATGATTACATAGGAATTTTAAATGACTGCATAGGCAGAATTAATGAACATTTTTATTACTTCTCTTCCTCCCCACCTTCCCCTCCTCCCCATTGTATTAATGCCATGTTGAATATCCCTATAAGTGAGTCTTTGAGATGTGAAAATAAAGGGAAACATCGCTAAAGTAGGTCTGAGGCTAGAAGGGGGAGCCCTTACCATTCAACTCAATTACGGGCTCCAACAGAAGTGTCAGTTACAGACTCCCCAACAGAAGAGCGTCAACAGGAAAGAATGATCAATTATGGGCCCAAGAGGGAAAGATGTGCTTTGCATCTCCTTCAAGATAGCGGCCACCCCCTGTAACTCAGTCAATGAGAAAGTCATCACCCTGAACTCTTGATTTCCCAGATGGACTTTTGAATTCCTCCCAACTTCTTCCTTCTCCATAAAATCATGTTCCTCTCCTTTGTTTGTTGGACTTGCCTAAGGTTTTGCCATAGTTGACATGCCCCAAGTTCCAATTCTTTGTTACTCCCGACTAAACCCATTTACTGGCAAAATAACTGACAGTTTTATGTTTAAGGTTAACAGAGGTCACCCCTGACTCCTTAGAATAAATCCTACATGTGAAATTGAAGGATCAAAGGAAATGCCCACTTTGAGGCTTTCTGAAGGTATATGAAAGTTTGCCTTCCAGGCAAATGTCTCCCAATCCTTAACCCACATTGGGGATAATCTTTTTAATTTCTTTAAAAAATATTTGCCCATTTTATTGTTAAAAGTTGATACTTTGATTTTATTCATGTCTTTGCTCAGAAGGATAGACATTTTTTTTCATATTTTTAGTAACCATTTGTACTTTTCGATTTGCTTTTTTCCTGCCTTTTGCCTATTTTTCACTCGGTGCCCAGCTTTGTAGAACTTTCTCTGTTCTGTGAAACTCAGGTCTGCTATATGAAAACTTGGTCTGCGGTATATGTTGTAAATATTTCCCCCAGTTTGTCAAATACTTTAAAATTTTGTTTGCAGTGTATTTTGATATTTGTGTAGAGTCAAATTGATCCCATTTTCCATCTATGGTTTTTGATTTGGATTTTACGTGGTAGGGGTAGTGGGTGTTTCCAAACTGACTGTTTAGATCTAGTTTTTTAAGGGGTGAGGAGGGGACAAGGCCTCCCTTTCACGTCACCACCCCTTTCTCATTGTGCTGTTAGAGCGCCCACTCTTAATTTTGGTGGGCTGTGTTTCAACAACCTTAGGTGGTGAGTTATCCATACAAGGTGGGTGGTGGTGCTTTTTGTTGCTGGTGAGCTGGGCAGCATCTCTCGGAGGACATACAGCAGACAGGTGACACCCTAGACTTGACATTTATGGAAAGATGCCTGCTTAATGGCTGATGGTGTCCCCAGCACAGTAACAAAAGTGGCAGTTTATTATTAAGTGAACATCCCAACCCTGTACTCAGGACTGGAGGATCCTGAAAGATGGAAGTCCCTCAGAGCTGCTTTTCCCATCCAAATGGTCTCCTTTTCTTTGCTAGCTGTTCTCAGTCTATAGCCTTTGTTTCTGCCTTTGAAAGGGGGTGTTTCTTTTCCATCAGTATCCATGTGTCTTATGGAAGGGAAGAGACCTGGTGAGTACAAAGCTGTAGAAATGCCTTTAGGAATTCTGCTACATAGTAACATACACCTTTATTTCTCTGTATTAGTTAAGTCCACTGTAACAAATCACCACAGACCCAGTGGCTTAAAACAGAAATTTACTCTCTCACAGTTCAGGAGGCAGGAAGTCTGAAATGGAGGTGTTGGCAGGGCCAAACTTCCTCTGAAAGCTCCTGGGAAAAATCCTTCCTTGCCTCTCTGGCTCCCCGTGCTCCTTGGCTCGTGGCAGCATCAGTCCTGTCTCTGCAGCCCTGTCTTCACACGGTGTTTTTTCTGTCTTTGTGTGCCTCCTCTTCTTGTAAGGACATCTGTTATTGGGCTGAGGGCCCACCCGAAGTCCAGGATGATTTCTTTTTAGAATCCTCAACCAATTTCACCTGTAAAGATCCTGTTTCCAAATAAGGTTCACATTCTGAAGTTTAGGGTGGACATGAATTTTGAGGGGGGACACTATTCAAGTCACTACTGTTACTCTGGTGGTCACCACTGTCATTCCACGTAGTACAAATACGCCTTTATTTCCCAAATTTCTCATTTCTCATACACATATCACGTTATGTACACCAAAACATAGCATCTGGTATCATTTATTATAAGATCATCTGAGGATCTCTGCCAAGTTTGGAGTTAATACCTCACACTTTTATCATTAAAATTAGACGATATCTTTCTTTCATAGTGTGTTTGTTCCTCAAGTCACCACGATGTGCACTTTAGCTATCTTAGGATTTTACCTGTCAATTATACCTCAATAAAGCTGAAAAAAATTCTTTAACAAAATAAGTATTGTTCTTTCACTTAGCATCAAGGACTAGGGGTGTGAAATGATAAGCCTTCTGCCTCTTCAGTAGAGCACACAGCTTATGTTTGAAGTGAATTTTCTTTTTTTTTTTTTTTTAAGATTTTATTTATTTATTTGCCAGAGAGAGAGAGAGAGAGAGAGCGCACAAGCAGGGGGAGCAGCAGAGGCAGATGGAGAAGCAGGCTCCCTGCTGAGCAAGGAGTCAGATGCCAGACTCTATCTCCGGACCCTGAGATCGTGTCCTGAGCTGAAGGCAGATGCTTAACCGACTGAGCCACCGAGGCGTCCCTGTAGTGAATTTTCTAAGGCAGAGATCAGCTGAGCTTTATTTTAAGACTCACTTGGAATGTTTCGTATTTGTATTAATTATCTTGAAGTTTATTGGAGTCAGTGTCATAGATGAAAAGATCTTTCAGCTAGAGTTTTCAAAGTTCTAATTTGTACATTTTCATGGTCATTATTAAAAGGATAAGCTTCTAAAAATAATCCATAGTGTAAAGAGGGCGCACTAGGAATTTGAGGGTAGTGTGTCAGGAGTTCTTCTGGTGTGGTGTGGAAATAGAAGGATTGGGTTCGTGTCTTGCTTGGATGCATCATTTCCTGTCCTCATCCTTGAGGAGGGATAGGAGTAGAACCCAGTGTTAGTGTTGTGCAGATTAAGGGAGTGGTTTATGCAAAGCACTTAGAGCAGATCTGGCACGTGGCACACACTTAAAAATTGTTAGTTCTTGCTTCAAGTAGGCTATTCTTTCTCCCTAGGGCATGTGGACGGAGGTGGTATGTCATTGTGCAAGGCAGTGTTGCCCCATACGATCAGCAGTTGTATATTCTCTAGGGCACATGAGGGTCAACTACAGTTTATGTTACTAATTTACAAAATCATTGAGAAATATGCATAGTTATTACTCTCTTCAATCGTATTTGGAGAAAAACGGCTTGCTCATGTGGTAGAATTTGAGACTAAGGTGTTGAAAAAAATACTTTGGCAAAAATAGCATATACTTACTTTATGATTTTGAAAATACAGGAAAGAAGAGCACAAATGACGTATAATCTTTGGTGGGCTTGAAAAAATTTACAGTGCTAAAAAAAATTTTACAATGCTAATGACTTAAATTTGGGGAGCCATCAATCATCTTCACCAAGGGCCTAATTTGGGGAGCAAAGTTTGCATAGTGAGGTTCTAAGTTAAATGGCAGCCATCTCAATCATTGGTTCTGATGTAAATGAATTTGAGCTATGTTGCAGGGATGGGGCGTCCCTTCTCGGCAAAGGCGCCTGTCCTGGGGGAGCGGAGCAAGCCTCCAGGCCCCCGGGGCTGTGGTGAAGGGGGCAGGTAAAGAAGGCCCCCAGACCCCTCCCTGCTCCAGCATGCCAGTAACCACCTCCTCCGGGAGTAGCGGGGGACTTAAGAATAAAAAGAAAGAGAGAGAGAGAGACGCAGTTATCTAAGAGAAGTAAATAACCCCCTGGTGCCTCCTATGTCCTTGAGCTTGATCTTGAAACCCATCAGAAAAATTGGGCGGTAGCATTTGGGCTTTTTACGCGATTTAAGTATCCACATAAAGAAGACGGAGAGAGACTGTGACAAACATTGTCTCCCCGCGTCTCTGAGATAGTGAAGACATTTCGCTGGTTGAACTCATCCCTGCTGACAGCCCGCCGCTGTCGCCCTGCCTTGTCTGGGATGTCAGTGAAACCTTACACGTCTGCCGCCTGTCAGCTTCTGTTCTTTAGGAGCAACAGGTGGGGAAGGGAGAAACCTGGAAGCGGGCCACGCCTAAAGGCATCTCTTGTATAGGACTTCACGGAAGTTCTTTTAACCGGCCCGAAAACCTGCAAGTCAGGACGCCTTCGCTTATTCCGAGGCCTGTGTGGCCGCTCGGAGCCCCGCGGGGCGTTTGCCGAAAGCCTCGCAGACACGGCGTCCTCGGGGACGGCGCTGGCGTCCTCGGGGCTTCTCCAGCGGCGCCCCGGCGCTCGGCTGCCCCCCGCAGGCGCCTGTGCGTGCGCGGGGCCTGATTGGTGCGCGCCGCCGCCTGGCCTTTTAGGGGCTGTTGTCGGGCGTTTCAAGTCAGTGGCTGCTTTTATCGACCAATCCGGTCTTCGCCCGGCCGATTCCCCTCTCGCGCCCGGCCAATGGCGGGGGAGGCCCGCGCCGCCGCGCCGCCCGCGCCGCC